CAGGCGTTGCCGATCCTGCCTGCCGCCCCGCCTCTGCCATGCTCGTACGCTGTGTTTGTGGTCTACAGGGTGAGCAACAGCCAGAATGCCATGCGTGTGTTTGCGGAGCAATCATTGTGGCGTGAGGATCGTGTGCGGCCCATCGTTCTTGAGTGTGCTACGTCCGACTCTACGGGCTTACTTTCTCCCCACATCTTAGCTTCTGCTTGCGGACTCGTTGAGCAGGGGAAGGTTGCGAGTATTTATATTGAGTGCACTTTGACCAGCTTCGTGCAGGCCTCCCACCCCCTGGCCGCGCTCCCCGAGGGCCTCACCCCTGTTCGCAGCACCTCGGCCCCGTGGGGGTGTATTCAGACCAGTGATTGCGCGCGGGGGTGGATGGCGCGTGAGAACGTTTATCTGTGATCGTGCGCCGAACTCTGGGTGCGATGCGTGGCCCAGGCCGTTCCAGCCTGCTGGGTCCTCCCTGTGTCCCCGTCTGTCGACCCTGCTGCCCCTGGTCGCGGGACTGCCCCCCGAAGTGGCGGCCCTCCCACGGCTTCCTGGATTTCGAGGGACCCTGCTGGATGCGGGCCCGCCCGTCGACTTTGGCGTCGCCCCTCTGTGGCCATCTGGGGGGCTTGGCCTGCTGGCGCCCCCCCCCCCCCCCCCCTCGGGTCCTGGGCGGTTCTCTCATGCTGATCCGCTGCGCTGCCTCGACCATCGGCTCCGCCTCTCTTGCTTTCGCGAACGGGCGGGCGGGGATGCGGCACCGTCGGCAAGTTCAAGGCCGCTCGGAAACACTGTGGAATTTGTTGTCAGCTTGCGCATTGCTGCCAGCACGCGACTGCGCGACGCCTCGATTGTGCCTACCATGCGGGGGTGCGAGGGAGGGGCAGTGCGCAGTGAAGATGGGGGGGAGGGGGGGTGGGCCGCCCCTGGCTGGGTTTCCGACCGCACTGCGGCGGGAGCTTGCACGATACGGGTTCGAAGTGCCCTCGCTTTTCCGCAGAGCGCCTGCCCTTCAGATGCACAGCCACTGTATGAGGCCCCGCATCTGGTGACTGGAGGTGTTCTATGGGGGGACGGAACCGTGTTCACCCACGACCCCGCTGTCCAGGGGGCGCGTCTGGACGCTTGCTGGGGAGGGGAGGCCGCCTGGGGTATGGTGTCGGGTATGACCCCTTGCCCGACCCACTCGCCGACAAGGCCGCCTTTACTTGGCGTGGCAGTCGGGCACTCTGAAGGGGGCTCGCTGGCTGCCCCCACGTTTGGGTCGCCCTGGCCCCCCCCTTTCTTGCATGAATTCGGAATTCTATGCATGACTTTCACCTCTTCATCTTCTGGCACGGGCTCAAATTTCTTAAAACCCAAGGGGCGAGCGAGCGAGGAGAAGGAGGAGGACGAGGAGGAGGAGGAGGAGTAGGAGGGGGAGGAGGAAGGGGAGGAGGAGGAGGGGGAGGACCAGTGTACACCCAAAACCATCAACGATGTTGGAGTACACCCTCCCTCCAAACTCCCTCTTCATCGGCCCCTGCCAGCGTTCATTTCCGCTTGGGGAACTGCCTCGTTGGAAAGCAACAGTTTGAAGACCCCGACGCATGCCAAAACATCGTTCCCTGGATTCCAAAACCTGACTGACGCGTCTTGACGATCCTGGATCGTGACAGAACGCAATTCCTGGGACTTCAACACCGCGAGCCCACGTAACTGTTGCACCCTCATGGTCTTGAGTCCTTTCAAAACACCGTTTACGGTACGCTGATCATGGGATTCCGTGAAATTTTTACACATCAAGAAAGAGTGTGCGCGTCTCTAAGGCGAGAACCACATTTTGAAAAGGAGCCGCCCTCCATCCGTGAACTCATTCAATTTTTCAAAACGAATTTGCGCGGCGCTAAAGTGAGAGCCACATTTTGAAACCGAATGTGTTAAGTCGGGTGTGCCCTTCTACAGGAGGAGCAGTCAAACATAGTAAATTTACCAGGGGATGTTTCTATGTGTGTGTGTGTGTGTTGTTGTGTTATGCTTGTTGTTTTGTTTGTTACCGGTGTTTGCATGTATGCATGCATGCATGCATGCATGCATGCATGCATGTATGTACGCATGTGTGTACGTACGTATGCATGTATGTATGTATGCATGTATGCATGCATGTATGTATGTATGTATACATGCATTCATGCATGCATTTATGTATGTATGTATGCATGCATGCATGAATATATGTATGCATGAATGTATGTATATATGGATGGATTGTTGTATGGATGTATGGATGCATGCATGCATGCATACATGCCTGTATGTATGTATGTATGTATGTATGTATGTATATATATGTATATATGCATGCATGCATGCATGCATGCATGTATGTATGTATGTATGTATGTATGTATGTATGTATGTATGTATGTATGTATGTATGTGTGTATGTGTGTATGTATGTATGTATGTATGCATGCATGCATGCATGCATGCATGTATGTATGTATGTATGTATGCATGCATGTATGTATGTCTGTATGCATGTATGTAGGAATGCATGTGTGTATGTATGTAGGTACAAGTGTGTACATATTGTTGTATGTGTGTAACGATAAAGACCAGTCTGTTCGGACTATTTCTGATTTCTCTCCGCCCGGCCTAACCCTAGAGGAGTGTCGGGGGTGGACAGAGCCCCCACCCTGACACGGCGATTAGTGAATTGTTCGTTTTCGGTTCTCGAGAGGGCGCCGCGGCCGTCATTCTGCAGGCTTGCGCCCGCCAGGCTTGGGCCCGAGGTCGTTTCCGCTAAACCACGCTTTGCTCCAGGGGGTTCTGCCCATCCCCCAGAGTGGCCTCCTGGGGGCCCACGTCGTGAACAGCCACGGCCTCGAGGTTCTCGGCCTGTGTGGTGAAGGCACCCTCCGGCCCTTCCCGGCGGCCGTCTCCGCGGGCCAGTGTGGCCGCAGACGGGGGGGCCTTGGCCCGGGCGGCGCGCGCGCTCGGCAGCCTCGTCGCACCAGCTCCGCGCTGGGCGACTTCTGGCAGGTGCTGCTCGGGAGACGGTCTGATGCGGGATGCTGTGCTCCCAGGTCCGGGGCGAGCGTGCGCCTCCGGCAGGGGCGCCTCGTGCTGGTGTGGCCCTGTGCGCCCCGCCCGTCCCGAGCACGGAGATTGCGAGGGGCGCGGCGGTGTGAGGCCAGACTGGCAGCCAATCCCTGCGAGCCGGGCCCGGAGGGCGGAGGAGGGGTAGGCAGCACCGTGCCGAAACCATGGATCCAATCGCCCTCGTCTTCCTCCTCGTCCTCCCTCGTGCCCTCCTTTCCTCCTCCTCCTCGCTCCCTTCACTCTCTCCTCTCCCTCGTGCTTCTCTGCCTCCGCTTCCTCGTTCTCATCGTCCTTTTGGTCCTCCTGAGTCTCCTCGTCCTCGTCCGCTTCTTCGTTCTCGTCGTCCTTCTCCTCCACCTCCACCTCGTTATCCTCGCCTTCGTCCTCGTCCTCCTACTCGTGCCCCTCGTCCTTCTCCTCGACCCCCTAGCTCTCCTCCTCGACCCCCTCGCCTCCTCGCACTGCCGGCCCCCTCGTCCCACTTTCCTTTGTTCCTCCTCCCTGTTCCGTTCGCCTCTCCTCTCGTCGTCGTCGTTCCAGGCCTCGCCCTCTCCTCGGCTCACCTGCCTTTGCCCTTTTAGCTGTGGTTCTCTTCTCTTCTCGTCGTCGTCGTCGTCGTCGTCGTCGCAGGCGGCCAATCCCTCTCGCCACCGCCGTTCGCTGGCGCCTCCTCCTTGTCGGCGTCGCAGAAGAGGAGGAGGCCAGGCAGGAGAGGGCACTATGCCGATACCACTGCTCGTCCCGTAGCGCCCCCGCCGCCACGGCTGGATTCCTTGAAATTCTAGACCCTTCGCGCAAATCCACCAGCCTAGCCTGGCCGTTTGCAGTCAGCTCAGCCATCTCAGCCTCAGCCAGCTGCCCCACTGGCGGTAGGTTCTGATTCCGGGCTCGGTCGCTGTGCTTCTCGGCTCGCGCGTTGCTAATTGGATCGGCCCGTGGCCCGGACCTTTCAACTCGGCGCCTGCGCGTCCGCTCGCGCCCGCGAGGAAAAAAGCAAATCCACCAGCCAATCCAGAAACGATGCCCAGGCGAGTTGCCCCGATCAGGGATGCTGAGGAGCATGCAGTAGAAAAAAGGGCAGGGTAAGGCGTCATACCCCAAGAGGGGGAGGATTGATGACGAATCGGAAGAGGAGGAGGGGTAGGGAGAGGGGGAGGTGGAGGAGGAGGAGGAGGAGCAGGAGGAGGAGGAGGAGGAGGACCAGAGTAAACCCAAGACTCATCAACGATGTTGTAATCAACGCGCCAAGCTCCCTTTTCATAGGCGTCACATGGATTCACTTCCACTGGGGGAAGTGCCCCGTTGGGAGACAATCGTTTGAAGTTCCTGAAGTGTGCCAAAACACAATTTTCGGGACTCCAACGCCACGAATCAACCGCAGTGTTGCGTCTTGACGATTCTGAACCGTGCCAGAACACCATCCTCGGGACTTGGACAAAGCGAATCACCGTAACTGCTGCGCCAGGACACCTTTGAGTCATTTCAACACACCATGTCTGGTACGTTAGCCATGCGACTATGCAAAATTCTTGCAATTTTGGCTCAACGAATGTGCGCGGCGTAAAGACGCGAGCCACATGTTGAAAAGGAACCGCCATCGCAGTTTTTAAGACGATCGTGCGCGGCGCTAAGGCGAAAACCACATGTTGAAACCCGCCCGCCCTCATCCTGTGAAACTCTTACGAATGTATAAAATGAGTGTTCGAGGCTCTAAGGCGAGAGCCACATTTTGAAGGTGGCCCGCCTTCTATATGTGAAACTGTTGCCAATCGTAAAGCTCCAGGACCAGATATGGTGAGGACATCTCAGGCGAACCGTCCAGCCCGCCTTTTCGACCTGCCTCTGGGTGCGACAGGGAGGAGTTCTGTAGAAGGAAAAGGAATGGATGAGGAGGAGGAGGAGGAGCAGGAGGAGGAGGATGAGGAGGACGAGAAGCCGACGGTTCCGCAGCCTTTTGCGGTCAAGGCCTTTGAGGCTCCGAGCGCCTTTGGTGTGCACGTCAAGCTGCCGTCCAGTGCCCAGGGGTGTTGAATAGGACGGGGAGAGGCGAGGAGGGGCGAGGAGATGAAGAGGGTGGGGTGGGGGGGGGTGAGGAGGATGAGGAGGAGCAGAGGCTGGGGATAAGGAGTGGAAGAGGAGGATGAGGCAGGGGAGGACGAGGAGGCGAGGAGGATTGGAGAACGTGTAGGAGGGGAAGGCAGGAAGGGTGGGGAGAAGGATGAGGATGAGGAGGAGATGTTGAGGAGGAAGGAAGGACAGAAGGACGGAACACCGACTAAATGTATTTCCTTAACACAGAGTTTGCACTTAGGGTTTTTCCCCACATCCTAAGCGGGATTTGTGTTTTCTCCAGTCACGTCTTGCAGACATCACCCCATACCCCCTGCCGCTCCTCATAACCATCGCACCATCATAATCAACAACATCACATCATCCTCATCATCACCGTTGTCACCACCACCACCATCATCATCATCAGCATCAGCATCAGCATCATCAGCAGCATCTTCATGTTCATCTTCAGCATCATCGTCATCATCATCATCATCATCGTCATCATCAGCAACATCACTATCATCATTACCAGCGTCATCATCATCATCATCATCATCATCATCATCATGATCATCATCATCATCATCATCATCATCATCATCACTACCACCACCACCACCACCACCATCATCATCGTCGTCGTCGTCGTCGTCGTCATCATCATCACCATCATCATCATCATCAGCAGCATCATCATCGTCATCACCAGCAATTTGCTGCCAGCGGCTATTTATGGCTCCAGTCCGGCCGCACTACCTTTCTCAAATCTCTCGGGCTCGCTGGATCTGCTGACCGCCGAATCGGCCCGCGCCATCGGCGTGGCGGGGATCGTCAGGGCCTTGACCGAACCCTGCCCTGACTGTATCTGCTCGCCGTCGCTGGCTTGTCTTTATCTGACGTGCCCTCAGCTGGCTTACCACTGTCTGTCGGGGACGGTTTACGGGACCTCGATTCCCGTCGCCGATGCTTGCCCTATTCTGCAGTACTTGATGGGCTGGGCGTGCCTCATCTTCGTGCTCGGCCTCATCTGTGGCGAGGGGTCTGCTCGCTCGGCGTCGTCGACGCCTGCGCCTGCGGCGCTTGTGAACAGCCTGGACATCGCGGCTCTCGCTGCACAGTAGTGGCGTGACGCGCGTGCTCGCAGCCGTGCGTCGCAGTGACGGCGGGCTCGTTCTGTGCCGTGCGCCACTGCGCGGCCGGGCCGTTCCCGTGGCACGAGCGGCTCATGCTGGGCGAGCAGCGGGGCGTTCTCCTACATCCCGACGCCCGATTTCGACGATTACGATGAGCCGAACTCCCCACGCCCCGATATTCGGGCCGTGATCCGCCTGATGGCCACGCTGGGGTCCACGTCCACCGCCTCTGTTACTTGTCTACCGCACGCGAGGCGTGAGCGGCTGTGGCCAGTCGCCGTGGCGGCACGCTACCCGTCGCCGCCCAACCCGCTGCCCCTGGAGCTCGCGGCTGCGAGCGTCGCGGGCGCCTCGTCTGGCGTGTTCCCCCCGGCGGACCCTGCAACCCCACCCGCGGCGCCTGCGGCGGCCCCGCCGCCAGCCGCTGGCGTGGAAGGCGCAGCGCCGCCTGCGTGGGCCGCGGGTGCCCTCGCCTGGTGCCAGGTGCGGCGCCCGCCGCGGCCGCGCCCCCAGGTGTGGCCCTCTTGGCTGTCGGCGCTGGCTGCTGCGCTGGGGGGAGCCACGCCCGCCGCCGCGAGCGGGTGCGGCTCTGGCCCTTCCGCGGTTCCTGGCACTCTTGCGGTGACCGCGACTGCAGGCCCTGTTGCGCCATTGGCTGCTGCTGCGGCTCCTGGTGGCGACGTCAGGATCTTCCAGATGCTGACCCACACGAGGGGCGAGCTGGAGAGGAGGCCTGCGAGGCCGTCAACGCGCTGACCGATACGCCTGTGCATGGGTGGCCAGTGGAGGTCCCGAGGGCGCTCCTCTGGTGCTTGGCCTTCATGTTGTAGGCGGGCACACCCACTGCTTGGCATCAGTGGTGGCTCGCCGCCGTGATGCCAGCCGGCGATGACGCGTGCGCGAAGCTCCACGAGGCGCTCTGCCGCGTCCTCGACTTGGCCGTCGTCTACGACTAGCTGCAGGTGGCCGAGGTGGTCGCGTTCGAGGTCGTCGCCCGTCAGCTCCAGCTGTTGGAGGAGCGGATCTACTAGGCGCGCGCCTCCGCGACCATCGAGGCGGCCCGCAAGGCCAAGGCGGGTGCCAAGGGCGGCGCCTCCTCGGCCAGCGGGTTCGCGCCCGGGGCCAGCTGCTTCCTCGGCGCCGGGGTCTCCAAGGCCAGCCTGTGTATCCCGTCGGAGATTCTCGACTGCATCGCTGATCAGATGAAGACCGAGGCCACCGTCCGCAAGGGCGTCGCCAGGCTCGCGCGGAGCGGGCCTTGCGAGCGCCATGGCGCCTGAAGACTTCCAGCCTGGCTGCAGGGCGCGTCCTAGTGGCGCCAGTCAGGCGCATTGCCCCGCCGCTGCTCGTCCAGACCGACAGCGAGACGTTCTTCCTCTCCGCCTTTCTCCTGTAGGGCGAAGATCGGGCACCTCGTCGTGGGGCGGTTCCGCCCGCGCTCGAGCTGCGAAGGGCGCTGCTTGACGCGAGGGTGTCTCTGCGACGCCGTCGGGGCTCCCGGCGACGTGCACCTTTGCGACCCGTGCGATATCGAGGCGCCGCCTCCTGGTCTTCCTCCGCGTGCCCGTAGTGATGCTGAAGAGTTCCTGGCTCAGCAGAGTCGCGATCTTGACGATCCTCCTGGATATTCCGAATCGCCTCAAAGATGCGAGGCGGTCCGGGTTGAGTTGTTTGCGTATGCACCTGGGTGCTCTGGTGGTTCCTCGGGTGCGCTCCTGCAGCGAGGAGCTCGTCTCCTGGCCGCTGCGCGGGGCGCTTGCCCTGGCGGCCGACTTCGTCGCGGACGCCGACCGTCGCGCATTGGTCGGGTAAAGCAACCGCATGCTACGTGGCCCTGCCGAGTCGGCAGCGCTTAGGAAGAAGGGGTCGGGGCTCGGCCAACCCCGCGTGGATCCTCGCCGTCAGTTTCGACTTCTGGGTTGCGCTGATTTTGCATGGCGCCTGCGCCAGGCTGGCATGCTAGAGCGGGGGTCGTCGGGCGACGGGCGGCCATCTCTACCCGGCTTCTTCTTCGTCGAGAAGGACAATGGTGTCAGCCGGCGCCTCGTGTTCGACGCGCGGGTGGCCCGCTCGCCCTGCGCGGTCCTTCCCTCTTCGAGATAGCCGACGCCGTCGGCGCGGGGTGCGCTCGAGGCCCGCGGGGACTTTTAGTGCCGTCCAGGGTAATGTCCAGGGCGCATCCGATGGGCTGACCGTGGGCGCTGCACTTCTGCCTGCGCGCCCTCGCCGCAGCCGCGATCGACGCAGGCGCGGCCGCTGGGCCCCCGCTGGTCGACTAGGCCGCGGTGCTCCGCTCCGCGAGGACACCGGCGTCGTCGCCGCGGGCTGCGTTCGCCGCCGCGTTTTTGGGCCCCGACGTGGCCGCCGAGGCGTGCCGGGCCATCCGCGCCGGGCTGGAGGCAAGGGCCCCCCCGTCGGGGACTTCGCTCACGCGGCCCACGGGTCGCATTCACGGCCCTGGACATCTCCGGCGACGTGGGCGCCTTCAGGTGCAAGGGCGAGCGGCGGTGTCGGCTGCGACGGGCCCCTCTTCGACTGCTCAGGCGGGGCTTCGCGTCGCCGCTCGCGCTGGCCGCGGTGGTGGGCCACTGCGCCTGGGGCGTGATCGCCGGCGGGCCCGCGTTGTCGATCTTCAACGCGGCGTGCTGCTTCGTCGCGTTGGGCAGTCAGGGGGCCGCCTTGCGCAGTGGGGCGTCGCCCTATATGGCGTCGGAGTCTGCCGCGGGGCCATCGACCGGGAGACGGCGGCGGCGGCGGGCCGCCTGTTCGAGAGGTGGCGCTCTCGCTGCTCGGGCGCCGCGCGCGCCCGCGCCCGCGCGTCCAGTCTCGAGCACCATGCTTTTTCCAGAGTGCTGTGCAGAAGAACTGTCGGGAGGAATGCAGCCACTGTCCGAGGCCCCCTGAGCTCTGGAGCCCCTCCGTCATCATCGTGGCCAACCGAGACACTTGCCGCGCCCGACGTCGACCCCGGCGCCAGACGCGCCCCCAATATTGCTGCGGCCGACGAATTCTGGGACCGCCTCCAGGGGGCAGGCGCGCCAGTTCCCGGCGGTTCGGTGGCTCGATCTACGTCGACGGCGATTCCAGTGACGGGGTGATCGACGGCGGCGGTCAGCAAGTTCGACGATGTCCACGAGGCGGCCGCAGCGTTCGATGGCTGGGCTGATGCGCAGCCCCCGGCATTCGAAATTTGGGTTAGACATCGTGCGATGCAGGGCGGGTGCTCTGGGCTTTGCGATGCGACGTGCGGCTCGGTCTGGGCTGCTCCGTCAACGTCGCATCCTCGCGAGGCGAGGTTGGAGAAGGCGGATGAGGATGCCAAATTTTGGGGGGCCGCCATCCTGTCCTCGGGTGAGCCTGCGGCCTTTGGCGCGCAGCCGTCGCTTCCCGCGTCCGAGGAGGTGTTTGCGGGGCTTGGAAGTGCCGCGGGCGGGAGCGGCGAAACATCGGCCACCCGGCCGGGACAGGAGGTTGCCGCTGCTGGCGAGGCTGGTCGAGGTGGCGGCGCCGCTGCCGCGTGCCCGGGCTGCCGCTGCGTCCTGGAGCCCGAGCGCTCGGAGCGCCCGATGCCGCTGGCGGCCAGTCCCGACATTAAAATTACCCCAGTGGGACCCTACATAGGAGTTGGAGCCTCTAGGAAACAACATTCGTAGGGGCGGTAATCGCCGTCCTCCTCCTTCTCCTCATCGTCGTCATTGTAGCAGTAGCGGTAGTTACTAGTAGTAGTAGTAGTAGTAGTAGTAGTAGTAGTAGTAGTAGTAGTAGTAGTAGTAGTAGTAGTAGTAGTAGTAGTAGTAGTAGTAGTAGTAGTAGTAGTAGTAGTAGTAGTAGTAGTAGTAGTAGTAGTAGTAGTAGTAGTAGTAGTAGTAGTAGTAGTAGTAGTAGTAGTAGTAGTAGTAGTAGTAGTAGTAGTACTAGTAGTAGTAGTAGTAGTAGTAGTAGTAGTAGTAGTAGTATAGTAGTAGTAGTAGTAGTAGTAGTAGTAGTAGTAGTAGTAGTAGTAGTAGTAGTAGTAGTAGTAGCAGTAGTAGTAAGTAGTAGTAGTAGTAGTAGTCGTAGTAGTAGTAGCAGTAGTAGTAGTAGTAGTAGTATAGTAGTTAGTAGTAGTAGTAGTAGTAGTAGTAGTAGTAGTAGTAGTAGTAGTAGTAGTAGTAGTAGTCGTAGTCGAGTAGTCGTAGTCGTAGTAGTCGTAGTCGTAGTAGTAGTCGTAGTCGTAGTCGTAGTCGTAGTCGTAGTCGTAGTCGTGTAGTAGTAGTAGTAGTAGTAGTAGTAGTAGTAGTAGTAGTAGTAGTAGTAGTAGTAGTAGTAGTAGTAGTAGTAGTAGTAGTAGTAGTAGTAGTCGTCGCAGTCGCAGTCGCAGTAGCAGTAGCAGTAGCAGTAGCAGTAGCAGTAGCAGTAGCAGTAGCAGTAGCAGTAGCAGTAGTAGTAGCGCCAGAACCGCCGACGCCACGCCGTAAAGTGAAGCAGCAGCAGAAGCAGGCAGCAAGTCGCCGAGACAGCAGCAGAAGCAAGCAGGCACGGAGATGAGGGCGGGGCACTGGGGAGTTCTTTACATCTACATCTATATCTACACTTACATCTACATTGACACCGACATCTACATCTAGACCTACATCTACATCTACACCTACAGCTACATCTACATCTACATATACCCATATCTATGTGTATATATATATATATACTTATATGTATATATATAGCAGCAGCAATCGTGGATGCTGTGCTGCGCTGTGCTATGCTATGCTATGATATGCTATGCTATGCTATGTTATGCTCGGCTCTGCTCTGCTCTGCTCTGCTATGCTATGCTGCGCAATGCTATGCTGGGCTAGGCTAGGCTAGGCTAGGCTATGCTATGCTATGCTATGCTATGCTGCGCTATGCTATGCTGCGCTATGCTATGCTATGCTATGCGATGCGATGCGATGCGATGCGATGCGATGCTATGCGATGCTTTTGCTTTGCCTTCGCTTTTGCCTTCACTTTTGCCTTTGCTTTTGCTTTTGCTTGGCACCCAGGGAGCGCAACTGGGGGAACCGCGCGTTTGCTTTCACTTTTGCTGTTGCTTTTGCTTGGCTCCCAGGGGACTGGGGGAACCGCCCGGGGCGGTTTCCATTGCCCGGCCCCTTTTAAGCCAAGAAAGTAAGAACCCTTCTAGGCAGAGCCTAGGTAGGGAACAACGTGGTTTTGCAACGCCAGTTATCAAAAAGACTTCCGCCCGCGCGCTTTTGCGACTTGTGAAGATTATCCCAGTGCGACCCTACCTAGGAGTTGAAGCCCCTAGGAAAGCAGCATTGGTAGTAACAGTAAAGCTAAGCTAAAGCTACACTGAAGCTAAGCTAAAGCTAAGCTAAAGCTAAGCTAAAGCTAAGCTGAAGCTACGCTAAAGCTAAGCTGAAGCTAAACTAAAGCTAAGCTGAAGCTAAGCTGAAGATACATTAAAGCTAAGCTAAAGCTAAGCTGAAGCCAAGCTGAAGCAAAGCTAAAGCTAAGCTGAAGCTAAGCTGAAGCTAAGCTCAAGCTAAGCTCAAGCTAAGCTAAAGCTAAGCTAAAGCTGAGCTAAAGCTAAGCTAACGCTAAGCTAAGCTAAAGCTAAAGCTAAGCTACAGCTACGCTAAAGCTAAGCTAAAGCTAAGCTAAAACTAAAGCTAAAGCTAAGCTAAAGCTAAGCTAAAGCTAAAACTAAAGTTAAAGCTAAGCTAAAGCTAGGCTAACGCTAAGCTAACGCTAAGCTAAAGCTAAGCTACAGCGAAAGCGAAAGCTAAAGCTAAAGCTAAAGCTCCCAGGGGACTGGGGGAACCGCTCCCAGGGGACTGGGGGAACCGCCCGTGGCGATTTCCATTGCCCGGCCCTTCAAGCTAAGAGAGTAAGAACCCTTCTAGGCAGAGCCTAGGTAGAGAAAAAACCATCCGTTTGTCAATATTGCTCTGGCTTTCCGGCCGATGCCGCCGACTCTGGAGGCTTCGGCCATCGACGGAAATGGGAGGGAAATGGCGGACCATGGGCCGGGGTGGTGGTGGTTTTGTGACCCAGGACCACGCCCGGGGGCTTCCCCTGGGACCGCCTTCGGGGCCCCCCCCCCCTTCCCAGAGGAAGTGATCAAAGGGCGTGGGCTTCCCTCCGATTCAATGACAACGTTTTTTAATTTCGCTGTGGATGGGCTGGTGTATTTCGCTTTGGCCGGCGTGCTTGAGGACGGGGGACCAAGGAGCGGGGGGAGCGGCGACGGATTCAGGG